CTCCTTCAAATCCTCTTTACTTTCAGCAAGCAATGATGTATCATCTGAATAATGCAAGTTGTTAATGAGTCTTCTCCAATCCTGATACCACATTCTTCTACATAGAGTCCAGCTTCTCAAATAATTTAATTAGCATACATATTGAATAGGTATGGAGAAAGGATACAATCTTGATGCACACCTTTCTTAACTTTAAACCATGGAGTATTGTTCACTTGCTCTGTTTGCACAACAGCCTCTTGGTCTAGGTACAGGTGTAGAAGTAAGGCTTCTAGGTTTCCTGTTCTTCTAAATGTTAGCCACAAATTGTTATGATCACACCGTCAAATGCCTTTGAATAGTCAATAGCCACATTCAAAAGAACATAAACATATACAAAAGGAAACAAATTTGTTCATGCAAAACAACAAGTCTATTAGGGTTCTACTTGAGTTTTATTTCCTGCCTTCCCCCATGAAGCTAAAGAGACCACCATTTTCTTTGACCACCAACAATCTTACAACTGGAGTTTATTTCTCTCTGAAACCACTCAGTTCTTTGTTTTGTTTTGCTGTTTCCTGTTTCATTTGTGCAGGCTCCAGTTCCCTTGTAGAACTAGCAGTTTATTTTTATCTCATTGTCTTCCTTTCTTCCAAAGCCTTCTGCAAAACACAGCATGAAAAACAGAAAAAAATTAAACTGAGGAGGGCCTTTGAGTGCCAGAGGGACCCAGAGGGGCAGAAGTGGTTGTGGCTGCTGCTCCCATCTTCTCAGGAACCCTGGAGAGCCCAAGCACTGCAGCAGGAGGGGTAGTGGGATGAACTGGGGCCTGAGAGCTGCAGCAGAAGCTGTGTGACCCTCCTCATAACGAGGCAGGCTGTTGAGCTCTTTCTCAGAGCTGTTACACTCTAGTCTCTTGGCCTCAGCCTCCAGGTCCTATAAAATGTTAGCAGTGTGTATAGCTTCCTCCTCAGCCCACAGGGGAACAGCAGACAGCTTGGGCTGCAGAAGGAATAATGTAGGTGGCAAGGATAGCAAACCAACAGGCCCTACCATCTTGACCTTAGATCCTACTGATTGCCTGAACTACAGGCCCACCAACCGGGCTGCTAGACCTGTCAGACCCAGGGACCCTGAAGCTGCAGCCTTGATATCAGGAATTGGGGTCAGAGCACAGCTGTGCTGCAGAAGAGCAGTTTCAAGGGTACAGGCTCTGGGACCACCTCTTCTTCCTGGTATAATGCTGGGTTTGCCTAACAACCTGGTCTCTGGAATCTAACCATGTCATTAAGTGTGGGGTGAGTGGATTTGCATTCTGGAAGTTCTTTTTCCAGAGGAAGAACAAACCAAAGTTCCATCTCCAGATATTAAGAGACCATTTCTTCTGACTACAGCTCCTTTCAGATACATGGCCCAGCCAGGGAGAGGCCCTAGAGGAAACAGAAAGTGGGAGGCCTCTCCCTGCAGTTCAGAGAGGAGGCCCAAACCCAGCCGGTTCAACCCAGTTCCTGCAAGGGAGCATTTCCTGTGGCTGCCCTCAGGGAAAAGAAAACCTCTTTCAGCATGACCCTTGTAAGATCATCCCTAGGCCCTCACAGTCCACACACACAGCGAACGAAGAGACTATGCAGATGTAAAAATGGTTCACTGCAACCATCTCTGACTTGTTCTCTTTCGAAGTTCTTCATCTTCTACAAAGTATGAACCACACGACACAGCCCAATTTAACATATATTACAAAAATAAAAAGGAGGGAGGAAAACACACCGATTTCACTAGTTTACAAAATTATCTTGGACAAAGACACATTGGACTACAATAATTCTGGATTTTAGTTAAATAAGCTAACATATAAATGGGCACAGGAATACACAGACACAGACATATAGCTACCCACCCATTCCCTTCAGTCCAAGGAGGAAATTCGGCTCAGAATCTTTCATTATATGGTCACAACTCTTTCTCCTGGAAAATTACTCGTAAACGAGCATAATAAGTAGTCTGTTGCCCTGTGATAAGCAATTCCACATCCCTAGATGACCAGTAAGGAGCCTTGATGGCACAATGGCTGAGTGCTCAGACTTCTCTCCACAGGTGCAAGTGGGAACATCTGATCCTGATGAGGCACGCCCGCACTGCAGCCCAGGCTCCAGAGAGAAAGCATCCGCGTAGAAGTGGCCAGGGCTTCCAGGAGAGCAGGGACAGTCTGTCCACCCTCACCCCCGTCTGGTCTAGCACCCAACAGGTGCTGTTTTGTTTGGCATGGAGCTAGATCATGCCTCCCACAGCAAATACGGAGAGAAGTAATCCACTCTGTCCAGTGCAGTGAATTCTCTTCCTCTTCAGAACCCTGTGGCGTTCTGCTTTCAGACATAGACCAACCCTCGCCACTTCACTCTGAAAAGCAAAAACAGATTAAAAGCATGCTGATCTTAACACATTTAATGTTTCCATTCTATTTCACTGGGATTGAACAATGTTTTACGTAAAATTAGCATATTTGTAAATTCCTAACAGAAGAAGTTTACGCTTCAGCCAACACACGCGTCTGAACACCTTTCAAAAGGCAAATTATATTTAAGTGTTTGGGGTATGATTAACAAGAAATAACATTTTCATGTGAGGGATTTTGGATTCTGGGGTCATTTAAACTTTGTTGTTGTTGTTAGGTGCTGTCAAGTACAGCACTACTCATAGCAACCTTATGAACAACAGATCTGAACGCTCTCCTACACTGTGCCATCCTCATCATCTCTGACACATTTGAGCTCATTGCTGCTGTCACTATATCGATTATCTTATTGAGGATTTTCCTCTCTTTCATTGACCGGCCACCTTGCCAAAGATGATGTCCCTTTCTCAGAAATAGCCTTTCCTAGAAGAGTACATAGATAGGAAACTGCTGGAACTTCAAGCAGGATTTAGAAGAGGCCGTGGCACCAGGGATATCATTGCTGATGTCAGATGGATTCTGGCTGAAAGTAAGGAATATCAGAGGAATGTCTATTTGTCCTTTATTGACTATGCAAAGGCATTCGACTGTGTGGATCATAACACGTTGTAGCTGACATTGAGAAGAATGGGAATCCCAGAGCACATGACTGAGTTCATGCATAACTAAACCAGGAGGCTGCTATGTGTCCAAAGCAAGGGAACAAAAATTGAAAAGGAGTCTGTCAAGGTTGTGTCCTCTCTCCATACGTATTTAATCTGCATGCTGAGCAAATTATTTGAGAAGCTGGACTCTATGAAGAGGAGTATGACATCAGGATTGGAGGGAGACTCATCAACAACTTATGTTCTACAGATGACACAACCTTGCTTGCTGAAAGTGAGGGGGACTTGAAGCACTTGTTGCAGAAGATCAAGGAATGCAGCCTTTGGTATGAACTGCATCTCAATGTCAAGAAAACAAAGATTCCCACCACTGGACTGATAGGCAACATCATGACGGATGGAGAAGAGATTGAAACTGTCAACAGCTTTATATTACTTGGATCGACAATTGACACCCTGGGTACCAGCAGTCAGGAAACAAGGAAATACATTTTGCTGGGAAAACTTGCAGTTTGGGACCTCTCCAAATTATTGAGGAGTGATGATGTCAGTATGAGGACTAAAGTCCATCTGATTCAGTCCATAGTCTTTCCAATCACTTGATATGCATCTGAGAGCGGAACAATGAATAAGGATAACAGAAGAAGAATCAAGGTCTTCGAGGTGTGGTGTTGGAGAAGAGCACTGAACATCACATGGACAGCCAGAAGAATAAAACGAGTATGTTTTGGAGAAGGTGCACCCAGAGTGCTCTTTGGAGGCAAGAATGATGAGGCTTCACCTCACATATTTTGGACATGTTTCTAGGAGGTGCTATTCCTTGGAGAAGGACACGATGCTGGGAAGGGTGGAGGGTCAGAGAAGAAGAAGACCCTCAACCAGGTGGATTGTCATGGTGACACCTGTGATGAACCTTTGTGTGTTACTATGAGGACTCAGATCTTTTGTTCATAGGGTCATACTTGACTCAACAGCACCTAACAACACATCAGGAAAAAAAAGCCCAAAGTATGTGAGATGAAGGTTCACCATCCTTTTCTCCAAGAATCACTCTGGTTGTTCTTTCCCCATGACCTATCTGTTTGTTCTGTTGGCAGTCCATGATACATTCCATACTCTTCTTCAACACCCCAAATCAGAGGCATCAATTCTTCTGTCATCCTTATTCATGCATAGTAAATGATTGATAAGATCATGGCTTAGATCAGGTACACCTTAGTCTTTAAGCTGATATCATTGCTCTTCAGAACCTTTAGAGATGTCCTTAACAGCAAATTTTACAAATGTGATGCATCTTTGATTTCCTGACTGCTGGTACCAATAATGTTGAGTGTGGATCCACATAAGATGAAATAGTTGACAGTTTCAATCTTTTCTACATCTTTCATTATGTTGCTTCTTGGTCTGCAAGTGAGAATTTTTGTCTTTATGAGGTCAAGAAACAATCCATATTGAATACTGTCATCTTTGATCTTCCGTAGCTAGCGTTTTCAAATCCTCCTTGTTTCTGGCAAGCAAGGTTGTGTCATCTGCATAAAGCAGGTTGTTGATGACTATTCCTCTGATCCTAATGCCACATTCTTTTTCAGAGTCCCGCTTCACAAATTGTTTGTGCAGTGAACAGACTAAATAAGTATAAAGAAAGGACACAACCCTGATGCACACCTGTCTTTATTTTAAGCCATGAAGTTTCCTTGCTCTGTTCAGACAACAGCTTCTTGGTGTAGGTATCTTATGAATAGGGTTGTTTTGGGATTCCCATTATTCTCAATGTTAGCCAGAGTTTGTTATGATTCACACAGTCAAATGCCTTTTTTTAAACACTGTTGTTATGTATTACAGAGTCGGAACCTATCCAGAATCCAGTGGGTTTTTAGAGGCAATAAATTGCATGACAAGAGATTGCTCATCTTTCTCTCACAGAGCAGCTGGTGTATTTGAACTGCACATGTTCGGGTTGGCAGTGCAGCACCTTACCACCAGGATGATGAAAAAGAGCTGAAGTATCTCCTCTGTGAGGTGATGGTTCAGCTACTAAGTGAAAGGCCAGTAGTTGGAACCCCCGACTACTTCCATGAATTAAAAGGCTTGGTGAACTCTCCGGTAAGGATTACAGCCTCAGACACCTATGGGGTAGTTCTACTGTCATGAGAGCTCAAGATGAGTTAAAAATGGGCTCGGGGGTACCTAACACCAACAATATAACAATAACACCAACAACTACAGCAATGCCCCTAAACGTTCAGCTTTTTAAAACTTGAACAGTATACTGTGAGGAACTGTGATGATGGAAAGGATGCGAACCTGGCCCGACAAGGAGGCAAGCTGACTATCCACGAGCAACTAGTCACTGCTCCATTAACCGGCACCATGGGCACTCGGGGTGCGGGAGCTCTCTGTGCAGTGGGGAGCTGCCCTGTGCACCGCAGGGTGTTTAAAGCCATCTCTGGCCACGTCAGTACCCCACACAGATGCCTAGATCACTGGCATATATCGATTTCAAGAAGGAAAAAGAATATGCAGATAAGTCAGTAATCTTTAAGTTCACACCAGTGTTAAGTACTTAATGCTTTTATTCCATTTCAGAAAAGTATTTCCAAACCAAACTTGATGCTGTCAAGTCGATTCCATTTCATGGTGACCCCCATGTATTACAGAGTCCAACAGAATTTCCTTGACTGGGATCATTACACAAGCAGATCACCAGGCCTATCTTCTATGGTGTCCCTGGGTGGGTTAGAACCTTTATTTTAACCTTTTGGTTAGGAGTTGAGCACAAATCATTTTCCTCTCCAGCATCTCCAGACACTGCCTGTGGCTGAGGGGAGCAACACCATGTCCAGTTTTGAACTACTACCCTACAGCTGCACTATTTAGATTTTTCTGGAGAATCTACAAACAACCCATGTCATTTCCCCTGGTATTCAGGTCCAAGGACAGAACATTCATCCTGTCCTCCCTGCCAGGAGCCATCTCATCAGTTTAGCCCTAAAATACGCGAACAAGAGTTACCGCCACCACCCTCTGTTGTTGTTTTCCTTCCTCACATAAATTCTGCAATTCTGTGTTTGCCTCTGTTCCTTAGTCTGCTGACTGCTTTATATGGGGAGAAACTACACAACATGCCTATTCGGTGTCTAAAATTACTAATACTGCTGAGTGATCTTTTGATATTTGTACAGCAGATTCCCTTCTTTTCAAACACTCCCCTACTTATAATGGAGGTCTGGTGGCCTAGTGGCAAGAAACTGAGCCGCAATGCTGGTGTTACGTGGTTCGAGGCCACCAGCTGCTCCCTGGGAGAAGGATGAGCAATCTCCTCCCACGCAATGAACTGCCTCTGAAAACCTGTGAAGGCCAAATATGGGTTGACTCCAACTCTACAATATCACAACCCCACTTAGAAGATGAAGCTTGAAGACAGGGTAAAGATGAGAGGTTGGGAGTCCTTTTTAGAAATCCTTTATAACTATATGTTAAGGGAAGTTTTTATTTTTACAAGACATCAAAATATGCCTGCAGTCAGCCAAAATAGTCACGGTTATTTCCAGATCAGGCAATGAGAAGTGTACACAAACCCAAAGAGTCCCAAGAATCCACATGACAATCTAATTGATGGTTCTGCCTCTAATGACAAATGTATGGCCTCAGAAGACCAAGGACTGGCTGTAAGTGATGCAGGAAATCCCTAAAATGGCTTGTAACATTTCCATGGGAGGTTTTATATGCAATTTGTGGGGGAAGATAGTCCATAGCTGTCTTTAAACTGAAGGGCCACAGGAACCAAACAATTTGAAGAGTCTTTGCCATCTGGAGAATGAGAATACTTATCACTGCGGGAAATGAGATGCTCAGTTAATTTGAGGAGTTTGGGAGCCAAACCACCAAACCCACAACCCACAGGAATATAGGGAAGCTAGTCAGGAGCCCACTCAGTTCCCCTCAACAGGGCCCCTCAGACTCTGTCCACATCCCTCCCCTCTCTCGGAGGTCTGCCTCTGAACACAGACACAGCTCCTCCCTTTGCCTAAGCATTTTCTTTGGTTCTCCTGACTTCTTTCTCCATGTCCCAACAGGTTGCTTCCTAACTCCAGTGTGAAAGTCCTCGTAAGTCAGAAAATAGCAAATGCCTCAACTACTGCAAATTCATATTCAGACAAGTAGAGTTTACAGTCACCAAAATGCCCCAAAGTAAAAACAAGAATAAGGATTCAATTTAACACAGATGCTTGACATTCGAGGCAGTGACTTTACGGTTGTTTAATGGAGGCGATATCTTCCTGGTGTTCATCTTTGAGTCCTCGTAAGGATATTACAGTGCAGTGAAGGCTTTAATATGGTCCTTGTAGCCAAGCATGGCATTTAACTCCTACAGAAAGACTGGGTGGGACTCTGCAAATAAGGTGACTGAGATCTACTGAGGGATTAAACAACCTTCTAATCATACAAATAAGATGTATGTAACCCTTGTGAAAGTATTGGTCAGTTTTGCCATTGTGCTGGGCTTAAGGTGAGAAAAGAGAAAGGGAACTTCCCTACCATCCAGAAGAAAATAGGGTAGACTATATCTTTTGGGCCCAGTATCCCTGAGCTGTGAAACTTCTATTCTGGGAAACAGAGCAACAGAGCTGTGGCAAGCACAGCACAGAAACAGTAGCAGGAGACAGAGAGGAAACAGGGCACTGGCATTCCCAGTTCATGGAATGAGATGGCCAGTGGGTAAGCAGGCCCAATGAGCATGGAGCAAGAGAGCTGAACGTCTTTGGACAAGAAGCTTTGTAACAGAATAGGCACCTCCAGGGGTGAATTACCCAATAAGCAAAGTTAGCATGAGGTTATTCATGCTTGCTTACTTACTAATCTGAGATGAACAACTTAATCAGTTTCACCACATTTAAGTTCCTGGGTAAGTTGACACTGGATGTCCCTGAGCCCTTATTCACGAAGCTAAACTTACTGACTCAGAGAGAGAGTCACCTCTGGGTGGATGCCTCTCAGTCAAGTGGGGATCTCCAGATACTTATTGTGAAGCTAACAAGCTTTGTAACACTTGACGGAACAGGTCAGAGGCCATGCCTGTGTGGAAACAGAGATCATAAAAAGCAAGCCTGTCCTGAGGAGCTGAGAGAAGCTGAGAGAGTTACCCACATGCTTCCTGATCCTGATCGTCAGCAGTAACCCATTCTTTCCCTAATAAACCTTGGAACTCTGAATATAGCCTGTGGCTTTTGTGTGGTCAGTGCGGTGAATTGTCAAGCTCAGCAGAGAATGCTGCGGGAGAGATGGTTGGCTTAATTAGTAAAACTGCTGGAAAGAGGAAGAAAATCTGACCTCCACTTGTTAGGAATCAGCCTTTCACTGCCATTGAAGGTGATTCTCCCCCTACTTTGTGAAGACTGAGATCTAACACCACCACACACTGCCATTTTTACACATGGTAACCCCAAAGTGTTATACGGATTGTGCATGAACTACCAAACACATTCACAAACTTCACCATCATCAAGTCAACTCAACTCCTGGCAACTACATATGTGCCACAGTATAACTATAAGTGCACCATAGCGTTTACAATGGCAGCTTTGTCAGTAGTAGACAGTCAAACCCTTCTGCCTATGGTGGACTTGAATCTCCACCTTTCTGGTTAGTAACCAAGCATGTTAACTGTTTGCCTCACTGAAGGGCTCCTCTTAAGAATTTAATTCCCTTAATTCTTTCTCACTCTTCTGTTTCTCCCTTTTCCATTGGGAAAGTTAACATCACATTTGCATAGAAAAAAATCTACAAAATACCGAAGCCAGTCACACAGCAGCAGCTGCTGCCACAGAAGTTCACCTCCACAACCTCTTCCACAGGTGAATTTGACCTGCCAGAGAGGTATCATGCTTGGTATCGGAGTGCAATTCCCTATGAGAACTATGTCTCCAGAGTGCCGAAGATTATTTCAGTTTGCAAAAATTTGACATTCTTAACATCGTCCTTTATATTCATTTGTGAAAAGAAATCATTAAGGACTGCTTTGTAGTGTATAGGATAGTGTGAAACACAATGTATGTGAACTCTATAAGCAAACCAATATTGTTGTTATGTGCCATCAAGTTGCCTGCAACTTATAGCAACCCTATGTGCAACAGCCCTAAACCCGGCTCTATCTTTTGCCAATCTTATTGTCTCCAACACACCTATCCCCATTACCCCAGTCACTGAGTCAATCCATCTCATTGGGGGTCTTCGTCTCCTGCTCTGTCCCTTCACCCTGACAAGCAAGACGTCCCTCTCCAAGGATTGATCCTGCTTTACAACATGTCCAAAGTATGTCAGATGAAGCTTCAGAATCCTTGCCTCCAAGGAGCAGCCTGACCTCCTCCTCTCCAGGATGAACTTGTTTGTTCTCCTAGCAGTCCATGACATATTCAATATTCTTCTCCAGCACCACAGCTCAAAGGCATCAACTCTCCTCCTATCATTCTAGTCATTGTCCAGCTCTCTGATGTATAGCAAGTATTTGCAAAGAACATGGCCTGTATCAGGCACACCTTAGTCTCCAGACTGACATCATTGCTCTTCAATACTTTGGAGAGGTCTCTGACAGCAGACTCTCCCAATGCAATATGTCTTTTAATTTCCTGGCTGCTCGTACCAGGAGTGTTGATTGTAGAACCAAGCAAACTGAAGCTGTCAACAATCTCAATCTCTTCACCATCTATCATGATGCTTCCAATCAGCCCAGTAGTGAGAATCTTCATTTTCTTGATGTTGAGCTTTAATCCATATCGAAGGCTGCTGTCCTTGACCTTTTGCAGTAAGCAATATAAAAGAAGTAATTATTTTTTATTCATAAAATAAAAGAGAAAAAAGACATGGAGGAAAGTATTGTTGATAGTTTTTAATAAAATGTTTATCTCTTTTTTAAAAAAAGAACTATTTCTACCACTCATAGAAGCCCTAGTGGCATAGTGCATTATGTGTTATGTTGTCATCCCAGAGGTTGGTAGCTCGATTATCCCAGCTGCTTTAAGAGAGAAAGATAGTCTCCTATAAAGATTTACAGCCTCAGAAACCAATGGAGAGTTGCCATGAGTTGGAATCAACTTGTTGGCAATGAGTTTTGGCTTATATAGCTTGTAGGGGCACTGGTGGTGCTGTAGATAAGGCCTTGGATGGCTTGAACCCACTAGCAGCTCTATAAGAGAAAGATGAATCTCTCTGCTTCTGTCAGAGTACAGGGCCTTGGAAATCCCACAGTGTAGTCCTACTCTGTGCTGAACCGCAGCTAGGTCGGAATCTACTTGATGGTAGTAGGTCTCCTTTGGGTTTTTGTTGATGTCACTTTAGACCAAGAAGTAGCCTACTTCATCCTCCTGTCCTCTCAAAGCAAGGGTCATCACCATAGACACCTGTTCTCTTACTAGGTAGTGATCCTTTTGTGCGTTATGATTTTTTTTACTGTCTTCTCATTCTACACTGCTGCTAATCACATACTTTCCCCATTTTCTTCTTTTACTTATTCAATTAATATTTATTGGATGCTTACAAACGGACCTGAGGATGGTTCTACTGTGTTAAGGATGAGAACATAAACTATCCAAAACCACATTGGTATCATGGGATTATAAAAAGATTTGCTTCTAGGTGAGGAGTCAGGAGTGAAAAATGAGAAGTGATCACATATAAAGGTAATGGTAAAGGTATAAAAGGAATATTACATATTCCTATCACATATAAAGGACAAAGCTGAGGTTCAAGTGCACCGGAAGCGTGTTTCAAAGACCTGGAGTCCCATCTTCTCTCTACCTTCTTATTTGCCAGATTTTATGTCAAAACTTTTTTTAGAAAGTAAATGAACTTGATCTTTTATTCTCCTTTCTGGTTAAAGAATTGCTTACTAGCTCAAAGACTGGCAATTCAAATCTCCCCAGCAGTTCCATCAGAGAAAGACACTGTCGTGTGCTCCTGGAGGGATGACAGCTCAGAAAACCCTAAGAGGTAAAGGATGGTTCTACTCAACCACACAGGGTCACCAGGAGCTATAATCAATGCAAGAGCACCTCAAAACAATAACAAAATGTCTTAATGGTCTCTATGACCTTCAATGTAAATGTGTGTGTGTGTGTGTGTGTGTGTGTGTGTGTGTGTGTGTGTACTTATGCAAGTAAACACGAAAACCCAAACTCAGATCTTTATACAAGGAAATGGCTTCTCTTTCGTCCATGGAGTGACTGGTGGATTCAAATGGCTGACTTTCTGATTAGTAGCCCAATACATTATTCACTACATCACCATAGAGTGTGTGTGTGTGTGTGTGTGTGTGAAGACATAGAAATATCTTGGGGTACTTTTTCAACAATTTAGCTACACCTTTCATCCTTTCATTTAAAATTCTTCTACATCTACTTCTTTTGTTTTGGTGATGTCTGATAATACTTATCAGTCTTAAAAATGATACAAGTCTTAAAGTATAGGTTAACTGCAGAAAGATATAACAGTCTTCATGTTCATACTTCTGTTTTTTCCTTCCAGAGTTTACTTCCTAACTGCACAGTCTGACTATAGGATGCAAGGTGGAATAACCTCTGCAGAGTCTAGAGCATTACTTTCACACAGAAATCCCAGGCAATGAATGAGTGAGGGAGTAAGGTGGTGGAACACAGCACAAAGTCACTGCAGTTGCCAAGCAAAACTTCCAGTCAGTAATCGAAGTGTTTCCTCATTACAGCTACGTCCCTTACCTTATTTACTTACCAAAGAATGAGAAGGATGTTGGATCAAGCCCCAGAGTTTCACAACCAGACATGTTCTGATCATGGAAATCCTGTAACAATACGCCCAGCACTAACTCTTCACTCATCATGTACTTCATAAAGCTGTCATCTTCCAAAGGAACCCCAAATAGCAGCTGGTAAGTGACTGTGGCATTGTCACTACTGAAAGGAAACCAAACAATTAAATATCAGAGGGATCACACAGCAATGCGAGGGATCAGCATAAACAATGTGTTTAGTTCAACGTGTTCTCTCTGCGTACAGCAAAGTAAGGGTATCAGCTCAGAAGAAACCATCATCACAAAATACTGGGGTGAGCCTAGCCTCCATCTTCCACCTAATACACTTGGGACAGGTATCCAAAGAGAGAAGGGGCCCAGAAAAAGGTATCCAAAGACAGAAGGGGCCCAGCTCTCATCTAAGGAAAATCGAAGGCTTCTTACATACCTTGTCTGTCCAGCCCCTTCGCTTCTGTCCCTGAGGAAAGCCAAGTAAATTTGTCCTCCTCTCCTCCTATCTTCCCTTGACACCCTGCCCCCACAAAGGTGAGTCAGAGGTATTCCCTTTATTTACCCTAAAAACATGTTGGAAGTAAGATCCCTAAAGTCCCTACCATTGTCTGAATCCAGGTAGTCCCACACCTGACACTTAAACCAACCATAAATTAGACAGACCTCCCTGGCCGCTCCCCAAAGTTAGAAGCATTTTCAGTGCTAATTTCAGCTCCAGAGGCCCCTAAGGCAGGAAAATTCAGCTTTATAACACTCCCTAATGGGACATAGGGAACCAAGTTTTCATTTCTTTGAACTTATCTTTCTCATCTTGCAAATAAAAATAATTATATGGCTTCCTTTTGTTAATTAGAGGCATATACTTGTAGTTAAATACTACCTCAACATTTGGGTTTTTCACAATTATCTTATTACTTTAGTCCAAGATGACCCAGATAAAGAGCTAGCAATAAAATCATAATGACCACATCTAGGACCATCACCCTAGGGCATGTTCTACAGAACTTTGCTCCTGCAGTGGATGGGGAACGAGCTCCGCCTTGTGGCCAGAAGTTATATAGGCCAACACTGTCAGTTTAACAAAAGAATTTTATAAGTATGTCTTAGCATGCTTTCCAGTTCTTCCCAAGTTAGATTATGCTAAGTGAATTAACTCAATCCCATAAGGACAAATACTGTAAAAGACCATCATTGTAGAAATAGATAACCAGTAAAAGGTGAATGAGCATCTAAGGGCAGGAGTGGGGAGCAGAGGGATGAGGATGGGGTTAATCATAGGGTCGAAAAATTTGATGGGTGGATGGTGAGGTGGGTAAAGAAAACAGAAAAGATCTGGTGTGAAAAACAGTGTATACAAATTTTTTTAATAAACCATATTGTTGTTGTTATGTGCCATCGCGTCGCTTGTGACTCATTGCGACCCTATGTACAACAGCCCTAAACTCTACTCTGTCCTGTGCCAATCGCACTGTCTCTGACACTCCCATCCCGATTATCCCAGTTACTGAATCAATCCACTTCATAGAGGGCCTTCCCCTCCTGCGCTGTCCCTCCACCCTCCCAAGGATGATGTCCTTCTCCAAGGACCTCTCCCTCCTTACATGTCCAAAGTATGTTAGACGGAGCCTCAGAATCCTTGCCTCCAAGGAGCCGCCCGGTTTGACCCTTTCCAGGATGAATCTGTTTGTTTTCCTAGCAGTCCATGGCACTCTCAATACTCTTCTCCAGTACCACGGCTCAAAGGCATCAATTTTATGTTAAAAAATAAATAAATAAATGTCTTGGAAAAGGTGCAGCCGAGGTGCTCCTTGAAGGAAAGGAGAGTGAAACTGCATCTAATACACTTTGTGCATGTTGTTCGGATGATCCAGTTCTTGAGAAAGGACATCGTGTGTAGAAAATGGAGGGCCCTCCACAAGGTGGATTGACACAGTGACTGTAAAAGTGGGCTCGAGTGGTTGGAGATAACAAGAATGGCACAGGATAAGGCAGGTTCCGATTCATGGTTCATAGCATTACTATGAGTTGTAGTTGCCTCAATGGCATTTAACAACAACAAATATGCTCAAGAAGGGAGCTCTACTGCCCAAGTGGGAGAGGAGTTGTCCTGCCAACCCACACTCAGGTAGTTTGAATTCACCAGCTGCTTCAAGTGAGAAAACTCGCCAATCACCTTAACAGCCTCTGAAAAGCCCCTGGAGGCTCAGCTAGTTAGTTCTAACAACAAAGAGTGAGTCAGCAGGGTCAAGGGGGCGCTCTCATGGCATAGTTCATGGGGAGTTGTGCTGCTAACCCAAAAGCAGTGCCTCTCTGGAGGTTCAAATCCACCAGCAGCTCCGTATGAAAGACAGGCAGTCTCTTCTTGTAGAATTTACAGCCCCCAAACGGAGGGTTAGCTGTGAGTGAGTTCTGAGTTTGAGTTGATGTAAGACCAAGAGAAATCCCCGGGAAGTAAAAATGGTTAGTGTGATAGGCTGCTAACCAAAAGGCATTAAGTTCAAGTCCACTCAGAGGCACCTTCTGGATGGATTGTGTGTGCTACACTGAAACAGATGAGGGAGTGAATAATTTAAAAGCGATGTATGATAGGGTATTATGGTTATCACGGGAGTCCACAATTGGGGTTGCATGGTGGAGTGTACTTGGGGCGGTGAGAGGGGTGCAGGAGGGGGGGATTGTGTACCAGGGAAGGAGTGTTTCTTTTACTTTTGAAAGAGAGGAGCGAACTGGGGGGCGGGGGGAGACGGCTGGGCGGGTAGAGAAGTGCACCAATGAATGAATGAAAATCCAAGATCTCTGTAGATGCTCATTAAAATTATTAAAAAAGAAAACAGGTTTGGTGACTTACTGAAAAATCAGCAACCTGAGGCACAGTTTCCAGAACACAGTTCTATTCTGACTCGTGGATGGAGGGGTCTTTAACAGAAATCTACTGTTACAACAATTCTTTTTCATTGTTTTTCTCCCCTTCCCCCAAATCTGTGATACAAATGAGTAGTATGAACTCAGGAGAAATTCACAATAAGGATGCCAGTTCGAAGTACCACCAGATAGATAAGCAGAAGATACACCTTTTAGACACAAAAACTTTCGTTTCTTAATTCAACATTGAAGGAACTCTGCTTGAACTCCAACTGCAGTGAAAATGTTTTCCAGTTAAAATTTCTTTCTATGAAATCCTGAATTCACATGTTGTTGTTGTTATGTGCCATTGAGTCACTTGCGACTCATAGAGAACCTATGTACAACAGCCCTAAACCCTGCTCTAACCTGTGCCAATCACGCTGTCTCAGACACACTTACCCCCATTACCCCAGTCACTGAATCAAAGAATATATTTTCTATACACATTTTCCCTTCCAGTAACTTTCTCAGGATTGCAGTGCAGCTTCTTGCCACCAAGCCATCAGAGCTCCCTCCAATAACTTTATAAAACAGTATCTCTAACATAAATTCTTGGCCAGTTTCTAGTGTTGTTTCACTCAAAAAATTGCACATGCATATTCAGAAGAAATCATACGAAATTGTTGACTGCTCCAAATTTAGTAGAAGGAACAGGAATAGATAAGGTATGTAGAATTGCATGTTCACTGGAGTAGTGGGAAAGCCAGGCTGTTCCCGGAGTCTAGCTCTTTGTACTTTTAATAACACACAAGAAGAACGTACTCTGCATGGCTTGTGGTCCTCAAGATCGAAAGCCAATGTATAGATTCTATCCTTGCCATCACATCATTATCTGAGATCTACTTCTACTGCTTCTAGTTTATTTGAGTTTCTGTGTTTAAAAAGAAATGGTTGCTGGAACTAGCTTTTCCTCTCTCCATGTGATCTTGGCTGAAAAATCTGGAGCTCTTTTTTTTTTTTTCATTCGTAAAATAAAAAAACTGAGCAAGTCGATTTCCAAAGATTCTCCCAAACACTTTACAAAAAAGGACTTGTGACAACCTGATTTTATTACTATTACTATTACTATTATGGAATGAATGAATGAATGAATGGTGATTTCCAAAATATGTGTCACTAATAATAACCCTTAAATCTGTGGTTATTGGTCTGTTTAGAAGTGAGTTTTTTCTTTGTGCTAAGAAGCCATATAAATATAGACTGCATTTGAAGCCAATTGCCTTTGAGTTATAAGAGTATCTTAGTAAGAGGGATGTAAACAGAGATGGAGGTATAGCTTCCATGCCATAGGAGACGGCTGAGAATTCAAGAGACAAAGACCTTCTCCCATAGCCAGCGTGCTTTGATTCTTTGCCAAGGTTCTACCACCTTGTTTAAGTGATCCTCCTCTACATTACTGCATTCCTTTCCCCTCCCTCCCCTCACGTTGTTGTTGTTGTTGAGTCAAGCACAACCCACAGCAACCCTATAAACAACAGATCTGAACCCTGTCCTATCAGGTGCTAACCTCACAAGCTCTGGCACACTTCAGCACATTGCTGTAGTTACTGTGTCAATCTATCTGGGTGAAGGTCTTCCTCTACTTAGTCATCCCTCCAACTTTCCCTTCATTGTTGTTGTTGAGTATCATTAAGTCAGAACCAGCCCATAGCTGACAATCCAAAAGGTTTTCAGAAGCAGTAAAGCACATAGTCAGCATGTATACCTGCCACTTGTACTTTTTACTACTTATGCAAAAATAATCACATACAACTTTATGCATGCAAAGAAAAGTACCATACTGTATGCAATTTTCTATGCCTTGCTTTTTTGTTTTTACCATTCAAAATTACGTTTGACATTAACTCTAATTTGTTATCTCTGGATGGAATTCAGTCTACCTTCGGAGAGAAAACGCCTCTCTCTAAAGCCAGTGCCCTGAATAGTGGTGCTCTGGTGATGTAGTCTGTAGAGAGTTGTGTTGACTTCCCTGTTAGTTCAAATCCACGAGCAGCTCCATGGCATAGTGGTGAACAGGCGTGCTGCCAACCCACAGGCATGCCATTTGAACCCATCAGCTGCTCTGCTGAAGAGAGATGGGCAACCTTCTCCTGTGTGATTCACTGACTCTGAAAACCTATTGGACGGGCAGCTATCATAGCTCAGTTTCAACTAAATGGTACATAATAACAACAGCAGCAGCTCTTTGGAATAAAGAGGGACAATCTCCTCTCTGAGATCTACAGCCTTGGAAAATCCACCAGGTGAGTCAGTCATGTGTTTGTTCTGACTGGATGGCAATGAGTGAGTGAGTATATGTGTTTTGAGAAAAGCCATTTCTGTTTCTTAAAGCTGCCCATCTGTGGCATTTCTGTAATGGTAGTACAGGATGACTGAGGCATCTGAGACCCAGGGAAATAAGTGGTGAGCGAGTCTTTTCCCAAAGAAAAAGCCCAAAACACAGTACTCCATAATCTTACCTGAAATCCATTATTTCAACTGATGAAAAATAGTGCTTCAGAGAAGGCGATGAACTGTACACATCTGTGAGCTAAAGCAAAGGGCGGCACATCAAACACAGACATTATTGATCACTGACAGACATTTCACATCACCTTGAAAACTAAAACTGCCCATGCTACCTAGGAATTAACGTTAACAAGAGGCTCAACAACTAAAGCCTACCATAAAACAAAACTCAAATTGACACTCCTGTCTAAGAATCCAATAGGTAGGGTCTTTCACCACCTTATACATTGCATAGGGCACTCCAGTGGTATATCTTGTACAGCATTGTGCAGCTAACCCGAAGGCCAGGCCTCTCTGGTGATTTAAATCTATCATAAACTCTTGGAAGAAAGATGAGGAATCTCCTCCCACATTATTTATAGTCTCTGAAAACCTAGTGGAGGGTCAGTTGCGAGTTGGTTCCAAATCAATAGCAATGAGATACTATGCACAGACACTTGATGGTCTTAACAGTGATAGCAGTCAGTAGCTGGAGACTTCACAGATGCCAAGGACCATAAGAAGGACCGAATGCTTCACAAAGGCTGTGAGGGGATAGCAGCTCAGACCACTCAGTGTGAGTGAGTCACTCCTTCTTTTCCTCCTCCAGAGCTTCATATCATCAGGATGAATAGTCATCCGAGCATGACAACCAGGCTTAGTCCTGTCCAACTGCAAGATGTGCTTGAAAGGTGTTGATATCAAAATAAGGATGTCTATGTTTCCAATGACTACATTTCATACCTTCACATGTTTGCCAAGCTTAGGTCTTTATGCAAGAAAAATAAATAAATAAAGCTCAAACTAGTCCTAGATACTACACTATTTCCTCTCTCTCTCTCCCTTCCCTCTTAAGATCATATTCTGAGGTCACCATGCATGATTTTCACTGCACATTTTCATAGATTTACTATTTATGCAAAAATAACAACCTGTAACTTTTAAAATTCAAATAAAAAGTACCATATTGCACACAATCTTCTATGATTTGCTTTTATTACCATCCAAAAGTATATTTGCAATTTATTCCAGTGAGATACACATTTGGTAAATCTAGATGGAATTTGGGCCATCTGACATAATACTCCTGGTGCAATGGTTAAAGTTTCTGGCTGCTAATCAAAAGGTAGGAAAATTAAACCCATCAGCTTCTCTGAGGGAGAAAGATGAGGCCATCAATTTCCTGAAAGGCTTTTTTCCTTGGAAATCTTTTGGGGTAGTTTTCCTCTCATCTATGGGGTCACTATGCAGAACTGACACAATGATAGTCGAATTTTTGTTTAACTCCTGTATGTTGTTATTGTTGTTAGGTGCCATCAAGTTGAATACAACTCATAACAATCCTGTGAACAAAAGATTTGAACCCTGTTCTACCCTGCACCATCCTCACACTTCCTGACACACAGAAGCCCATTGTGGCAGTCACCATGTCAATCTATCCACTAATCTATGTCAATCTATTCCACTAATGATTATACCAACTGATTCATTTCTCTACTGATAATGTTTGTCATCCATCATTGACCCTGGGAATTTCATTTTGGCACAAGTATGAGCTTTCCTCCTATTTCTCTATTGCTGCTATCGAGTCTATCTGACTCATAGCTGACCTTCCATTGGGTTTCCAAGACTATAAATCGCACAGGGGAACATTACCTAGCTTACTCCTGTTGAGCCACTAAAGGATTCCAACCCCTAGAGAGGAAGAATAATTTATTCACTTCCAATACCTTTCATGAAAAACATAAATGGCAATTGTACACATGGCCCTCATTAGGTTGACTACATCTGGGGAAAGAGAAGATGGGGAAACTCAATACAACCAGACCAGAGACAGACTATGGAACAGAGCATCAATTACACATGTATAAGCTCAAATTAAAGGTGAAGATAATTGAAATAAGTCCACAAAAACCAAAATGACACTGAATCTATCCCAAATAAATTTAAAAGCCATTTCAAGAATAGATACCATGCACTTAACACTAATGACTGAAGAACAGAAGAGTTTTGAGATGACATCAAGGACATCATCCACAGAGTAAAAGTTCATTTCAAAGATAAGAAAGGCCAAACTATATGTCAGAAGAAACTCTGAAAATTGCACTAGAAGAACAAGCCAAAACAAAGAGAAGAAAATGCAAGTAAAAGAGATGAATGGAAGATTTCAAAGGGCAGCTTGAGAAGATAAAGCAAAAAACTATAATGAAATGTGTAAAAGTTGAAGTTTAAGAAACCAAAAGGAAAAAAAAAAATCTTTCAAGCTGAAAGATCTGAAGGACAAATTCAAGACTCAAGTTGCAATACTGAAGGATTCTATGGGCAACATATTCTATGGGAAGGAAACATCAAAAGCTGGATTACACTGAGTCACTATAACAAAAAGAATTGGTCTGCATCAAATCATCTCTAAAGTAGAATATAATCAAGAACTAATGGTAACAAAGAAAGCAGTTCAAGTAACAACAATATAATTAATATCAATTTGTTATCAGGTGAGTCCAATCCTTGTAAAAATACATCATTCTTGAGAAGCAGAGAAAGTCAGCAAAATATAGAACCTCAATGATCTAGACTGACACAGTGAGAGTAACAATGGGTTGTAGCATGTTGGAGAGCAGGTTAGGGCAAGGTTTTGATCTGCTGGGCATAGAGTCTTATGAGTTGTAATGGACAGAATCTAATAACAGTAACAATCAAGAAAGAATGAGTGTGGCAGGGGTCTTACATGCCGTAGATAGAACAAAGTTTCATTCTGTTGTGAATAAGGTCACTGAGTCAGAGTGAACTTGGCAGAACCTAACTCCCAACTGGAATAGTTACCTAGAAAATCCAGGGTGTGTCTTCTAAGACTCCATTTTTTTGGGGGGAATTAAAAGGTTATAATTCAGATTAATAAAATCCACTCAAGACAGCTCCCAAAATGTGCACACAGGCACCTCAGCCCTAAGACTTCTTTGTTGTTGTTGTTACAGTCCGCTGATGTAACGGGCATATTTACACAGATGTGAGCTGAGCTTCTCCTACATGGTGTTGTGCTACTAACCAAGTAGACCATGTCTGCCCTGTGGTTCAAATCCACCAGCTGCTGTGAGGGAGAGAGATGGGCAGCCTCTTCCTGTTAAGATTTACAACCTCAGAAACTCAAAGTAGGGTCTCTATGAGTCAAGACTGTCTTGCCAACATTGAGTTCATGTGAGTTCCCCACACTGCCTACTTTTGGTTCCAGGAGTTGGGGCCCACTTTATCCCTTACTATGGTGTCTCCACACTGTGCTTAGGTTCTGACAGCACACACAGCTAGGAGCCCAGGGAATGAGTCACCAGAGTGACTCAGGAGCTAATCAGAAACCAGCTCTCTATGATGTTAGCAGAAGGGCCATTATTAACACCTGAATCTAGGAAGGGCTGAAGAGTATACTACACAGGTAAGGAGTTGTTTTAAACAAAGCAATGCTTCCAAACATGACAGAAAGGAAAATCTGGCAGTGAGACATGAAAGGGGGTTAGGGAGACTGTACTCAGGAAAGCATGACAAAAAAGCAAGGAAAAGAATATACTTTTCCAGTTCTCCCTCTCATTTGCCTTCCATATCCAGAAACTTTTGGAAACTGGTTTAAGTGAAAGAGATGCCTTATAAATAGACAGTAGCATCTCTACTATTTGTCCCCTTTTTTTTGCTCTTAAACATATTCATATTTGGCTGGGAAGCAAGAGACAGGCATCATTGTGCCTTCCTGAGTCTTTAATCATCTGAATACTAGATAATTTTTAAAATTTTTCCCCTCTGGTGGTCTAGTGTTAAGCAGCTGCACTGCCAAAATGAAGGCAATACAATTTAATAGCCAGCTGTCCCATGGTAGAAAGATGGGCAATCTCCTTCCGGGCGATGTACAACTCTGAAAACCCACTGGAGGGCCAGCCTGTTGCTTCTGCACCAACATCACTTAACAAGTTCTTTACATGCAGTCTTATTTGCATCTGTGAAGTACTGAAGAGAAGTACAGCTATTTTCATTTTTCAGGGGAAAAACTAGCTCAAGGAGGTACGGTCTCGGCCCCAGATATTACTTCTGATCCCTGTTCTTTCACCAGTACAGAGAGATGAGGTAAAAACATATAGAAACTTTGCTCATGTCTGACATTTTTGCAAGAGATTTGTCTTTAAGGTAAATAATTAGCATATACTTTCCTTTTCCCACAGGAAGTCCAGGTTATAGGAGGTAATGCGTGTGGATACCACTTATTTCACCTCTGCCCAACAAATGTAAAAGTAAACACAGGAAAAATTGTCATGTGCTGTTGAGTCGACTGTGAGTCACAGAGACCTTATGCACAAGAGCTCTGAACCCTGTTCTATACACTAAATCAATCTCACTGTCTCTGACACACCTACCCTCATTACCCCAGTTACTGTGTCAATCTGTCTCATCCATGATCTTTCTCTCCGACACTGTCCTTCTACCTGTTCAAGCATAATATCCTTCTCCAAGGACTGGCAACATGTCCAAGTGAGACGGAGCCTATCCTCTCAGTTCCTACTCTAAGAAGCAGGAGAAAGGGAATGAGGAAGGCGGAACTGCTGAAAAAATTTTTAAAAACAAGAAAAGGAGAGAAATTGAGAATAGTCATCCCAGGGTACAAAGCCCCCAAATAAAAGCAGTGTTCAAAAGTCCTGCGGGTAAACTAACAAAATTCATTGCCATAAATGTGATTTCAACTCAGAGAGACCCTAATACAGAGTAGAATTGCTCCATTGGGTTTCCAAGACTGTAAGTCTTAACAGGAGCAGATTGCTGTGTCTATTTCCCTCACAGAGAACCTGGAGGATCGGAATCGGTCACCTGTGGTCAGCAGCTCAGCAGTTAGCCCACCAACTATGACACGTACACTGCAGAAACGATCTCTGGGGTAACCTATCCAGAAGTGCCTCTTCAAGAGCTTTTGTAGAAACACAGCAAACAAATAAAACCAAGTCAGTTGCCTTCTAGTTAATTTCAATTAACAAGAACCTTGGGTATAAAGTAGAACTGGGCTTCCCAGGGTTTTCAAGGTTGCAACCTTTCAGAAGCAGACTTTCGGAACCCGCCATTCTTCTGAGGTGTTTTCAAGGTTCAAACAGCTAATGTAACCTAGTTCTCTGCCCTTCACACCACTCAGAGACCCAGGAGGAACCACTTGAAAACCAAATAATGACAATAACCCAGAGACTCAGGAAGTACCACGTGGGGAAAAGAAGAACTCATATCAGAGAATAATTCAGTTGGTGAAGATTGGTCTTGTCCAGGTTTTCTTGTCAGAAATTTGTCTAGGCCTGGCTGTGAACCACTCTTCTCTGACAGGATGGCCACAACCACCCAACAAACCTTATGGTCTGACTGCAGAGATTCCAGACTCTGCAGTGTGTCCAGAGACAGTAAGGTTGGCACAGGATAGAGCAACCCTATGTACAAGAGCCCTAAACCCCACCCTAAGGACCAGTCCAAATGACTCATAGTGACCCTCTGAACAACAACATATCTGTGTCTATAAATTTCTATCTATACATCTCATAAAGAAAAATCAGTTGCTAGAATGGGACATCATGTTTAGTGCATCAGTGAAACTGCAGCAAAGATTCAATGACATGAACTGACTCAATAGCTTCAACCATGGGCTCAAGCTTACTTGAGATCATAAAGATTGCATAGCACTCGACAACACTCACTTCTGCTATTTGCAAAATTGCAACCAGTCAATGCCAAAGACACTGATTGCAACAGTGGCCCTTTAAGAGCTCTTACTAAAATTCTAAAATTACACTTCTAAAAGGATTCATGTGATATGATACAAAATATTAGCCTCATACTCTCTTCCAATCTGGGAAGGGTCAACAAGACCACTTCACATCCCTTTTATTACCGCCTAGTGGTCTAAAGGAAGCCTGGAGTCATTCTCTGCTTCACCCTAAAACATCCAATTCCTCATTAACTCCTTTTGAGTTGAAAGCACCTCCTTGATTCCACTTGAATCTTCTCTATGGCCCCTGACATCACCCTAGTTCAAGCCTTCATTTCTTACCTGGACTCCTGCTGTAACTTTCTAATGATGCTTTCTGCCTCCAGTCATGCTTTACCAGTTAAAATGCACACTGACCACATCTATAGGGAGTTGAGGAAGCTCTATTGGTTTAGTGATAAGAAATTGCACTTCCAGTGCAAAGGGACATGGTTCAAATCCACCTGCTGCTCCATGGTAACAAGATGGGTCATTTCCTCTCATGTGATTTAGCCTATGAAAAACCCCTGGAGGGTCAATTGTGGGTCAGTTCCAACTTGATGGCACGTAATAACAACATAGGGAGCTGAGCTGCTAACACAAAGGCCAGATCTCTGGTGATTCTAATCCCGTATTGACTTCATGAGAGAAAGAGGGGAATCTCCTCCTATACAACTCAATGACTTGGAAACCCAATGAGGGTCAACTATGAGTAGAAATTGACTCAATGGCAATGAATTTGAGATCTCATGATAAAAATAATGTTTTCAAAAAGCAGGATAATGTCAATGATTTATCTTCTACCTTCAGGATTGTTTTTGCAAGTCCAAGTCACACCCTTTGCAAATCTCCTGATTATCTGTGCCACTCATTTTATCTAGAATGTTCATCTTTCAAGACTCAGTCTGAGTATCACCTCCTCCAAGAGGCTCTCAAAGCCTCCATCCCCACCTCCAGTAGTTTCAATACTCCTCCCCTGCATGTGGATAACACACTGTGTCTATGTTGTAATAGAACATGCTACACTGGTCTTTAGCTATGCTATATTCATTATGTGGAGGTCTGTAGCCTGCAGAGAGTTACACTCCTTGCAACTTGAATCCACTAGTGGCTAGTAGGTAGACAGATGAACAATCTCTGAAAACCCATTGGTCAGCTATGAGTGGGTTCCGACTTGATAGCAATGATTTTTTTTAACACTATATACTTCTTCTCTGTCATATTAAAGACCCTCAGTGAACTCCAGGTCAAGGCAAAGATAAGATAAAGTGAACAAATGAAACACTGTCCAGCAAAACTCATTTATTTGTTTGGGACCAAGACCCTTCTTTCCCATTTTGCAGAGGTAATATTTGTCTACGCCTCATTGTTAACAGAAATCCAGATGACAATTCCAAGATTGGAGCTGTTTACTATATTATTTTATACCAGAAGGATGTCTATTTGTGTTTTATTGTCTATGCAAAGGCATTTGTATATGTGGAGCATAACAAATTATTGAGATAAATGAGAATCCCAGAACATGGAATTGTGTTCATGTGAAACTTATACCTAGATCTAAAAGAGCAAGGGAACACTGAATGGTTTAAGATCAAGAAAGGTGTGTGTCAGGGCTGTATCCTTTCTCCCATTTAATCTGTATGTAGAACAAATCATTCAGGAAGCTGAGCTCTGTAAAGAGGAATGTGGTACCAGGATTGAAAGAAGACTCCTCAACAATCTGTGTTATGAAGATGATACAGCTTTGCTTGCTAAAAGGGAGAATGACTTGAAACACTTGCTGTAGAGAACGAAAGACAACAACCTTCAGTGTGGGTTACAACTTACATCAAGAAAACAAAAACCCTCACCACTGAGCCAATAGGCAACATCTCAATAAATGTAAAAGAGAAATTGTCTATGACTTTATCTTTCTTAGATCCACAAGCAACACTTGGCACTGACAGCCAGGAGATTAAAAGGATTACTGCACTGGGAACAGTCTGCTCTCAGATACCTCTCCAAGTTCTGTATAGCAAAGATATCAGCTTGAAGAGTAAGGTTCACCTGATCCATGATATTTTCAATTACTTGCCAGGCATCTGGAAGTTGGACAATAAATACAGATGACAGAAGAAGAATCAATGTCTTTGAGTTGCGATGCTGGAGAAGAGTGCTGAATGTCCCATGGTCTCCCCAAAGGACAAACAAGGAGGTCTTGGAAAAGGTGCAGCCAGTATGCTCCTCAGAGGCAAGATAGTGAACAATTGTCTCACATACTCTGAGCACATTGTTAGGAGGGACAAGTCCTTGGAAAATAACATCATGCTTGGAAAGGTGGAGGGTGATTGAAGGAGGGGAAGATCCTCAACGTGATGGACTAACACGATGACTGTAACAGGGGGCTCGAGCGTGTCAGAGATGATAAAAATGACACAGGACAAGACAGGGTTCAGATCCATTGTTCATAGGATTGCCAGGAGCCATAGTCACCTTGATGGTACTTTGTAACAACAGCATTCTACTACAACTTACCTACTTTTACGCCAAGTGCTCAGTAAACAATGTATGAGGTGTAATTACCCTTTCAGTGAGCAGATGCGGCAGCTTCTCCTCAGTAACACACTCCTCTGGAATCTTTAGCATGATCATGAATGTTTTGTTTGATGATAATTCAGGTATCTCATATTCATCTTCATCAATATAGGTTGCTAAAACACATGGGACACAAATAAAAATATAGGTAAATATGCATGTGAAATAATAAATCTTTTATTCTGTTGACTAAAGCCCACTGCCATGGAATTGTTTCCAATTGGACCACCCTTCGAGCTTACAAGGCTATAAATCTATAAATCAGAGACTGCCTAGCTTTCTCCTGAGGAGCCATTGGTGAATTTGAACTGTCTCATGACTGGACCAGTAGACAGAATCATGTTAGGCAAATAGATTGAATTTGTCACTAATTTCCTTTTGCTTTTACTTTCCACATTTAATGCTCCTTTTACTTTCAATATTTAATGCTCCTGGTAGCAGTAGGCAAGAAATCAAAAAGTGTTGCATTGGGAAAAATCTACTGTCAAGGATCTCTCCAAAGCACTTAGGAGCCGGTTTAAAGACTATAGTGTGTCTGAGCCAAGCCATGGCATTTTCAGTTGCTTCCTATGAATGTGAATGTTGGACAAAAATTAAAGATGACGTAAGAAGAATCAGAGTCTTTGAATTACTCAGGGAAAAGAACTGGCAAAAGGACAAACAACTCTGTTTTGGAAGAAGTAAAACCAAAGTCCTCCATCGAGACAAGGTTGGTGAAACTTTGTCTCATATACTTACTTTGGGCATGGGGCCAGTCTTTGGAAAAAGATATCACGCTGGGAAAGGGGGGGAGTCAGAGAAAAAGAAGACCTTCAACAAGATGGACTGATCCAGTGAGGGTGGCTCAAGACAGGGAAAGCTTCCGACCTGTTGTTTATAGTGTTGCTATGAGTTCTATTTGACTCAGCAGCACCTAACAACAACCACCACTTTTCAGTTAAGCATTTAACACGCTATGCACAATAGAGAGCTCTGGTGGCCTAGTGGCAAGAAGCTGCACTGCAATCCCAAAGACACTTGTTTCAAGGTCACCAGCTGCTCCATGGGAGAAGGATGGGTAATCTCCTCTCATGCGATTGACTGTCTCTGAAAACCTGCCGGAGGGCCAGCTGTGGGTCAGTTAAAACTCGAAGGTAAACAACAACAACAACAACATGTACAACACTACCAGAGCTTCCTATTCTGGGGATTGCTATTCTTATCAAAAAAGAAAGACTAGCTTTTCATAAATATATCCTGGACACCATAAAGAAGTATAAACAAAGCTAACTAGTACAAAATGAAAATCTACTTAAAAAGCAAGCAAACAAAAAAAAAAGTCTTCTCCTCCCAGGAAGATTGAAAAGTCACAAGGGCTTGCTATGACAAAAATTGTTTGGTTTATGTTCTATGTTCCAGATTCCAATAAATACAGGCTAAGTTACTATGAGTCCTATTCAACCCAACAGCATCTAACAACAACAACAACAGGATTGAATGTGGAACAGGCAGTGGGAAGGACATGAACTTCCTTGTTAAAATGAACTTGCCGATAGAGACATACATAGGCGTGAATGGTATGTGCCAGGACATAGTATGGAGGCTGAGTGTGGCAGCAAGGAATTGCATCACCTTCTGGTGCATATATCAAAGAGCTATGTCGGAGAAGTGGCAGGGTTGAAGAGAACTGAGGTGAGACTGCTGTGTGAGTTTGAAATCTCCCGAGGGAGGCACGTAGGTATGAAGTCACTCCCTGGAGTGTGTCCCACAGGAGCAGAATGTCGACACACTCTGTTTGCAGAAGGGAAAGTAAAGAGACAAAGATATGCAGAACCCCAAGAAGGCAGGACTTACCTTCTTGAGACAATGACTTCTGTGTTGTCACTTGTGTTCTAATCATTGTTGGCTAATTGATTTTTAAGCAGGTAGAATTAAGGGGAAAAACACACAAAGTCTGGAGCCCGGAGCTAGAAGCTGGCACTAGAGGTAAAAAGAATGCTGCCCTGGCTGTGCACCAGGCTCGCTGCCTGGGCCACCTGGGCACCAGCTGGCCCTGAGAAAGGTGTAGGCGGAAGAGTCAGATGCTCATGTGGCCACAGACCTTTCTCTCCAATCCCACGCTCCAAACAGAACAGCAATCACCCTCTTTTATTGAACTTTAGAAACATCATATAAGAATAAAGTCAGAGTTTATGATGGGAGGAGAGAAGATGTAAGAAACCTGGGACTAATTCCATGAGGAAATCTGGATACATGAAGCCTTTGATGTACTTCAGAAAGTAACACCCATTTGTTATTACGAACTACTGTGTGTACCTTCGTCTTTTTTTTTTCTTTTGTAAGGGTCGGTTTATGACTTTGATTTATGAGGGGATATGCAGAAAACAGCTAGTATAGAAGAAGTGATACTGTTTGCAAGTATCGCCTAATGTCTTGGAATTGGGATTTCCAGAGGGTTCCCACCATTCTCTGGTAGAATGACTCACCCTCCCTTAGCTGTTTGTATAAACCAAGCAGTTTGCTCTGCCACCTGCTCTCTCCCTGGGAGTTGGCTGTGCTGGCATCTGTTACACTGAACATACTCCTGTGAGCAGCCCCAGCAAAGCCCCCGGGCACTGAGGCTCTAATGAGCTTCCCAGGTGCGTGTTCACATATGTGGTCCCAGTTTATTGCCAGAGGAATGACATGCATATCAGTGACTTCACCAGGAAAGGAGTCATCAGATTTGTGTACATTTTCTTTGGGCTCTGCTCATGTGCCATTTTGCCTTTGCTGATTTGATTATGTGTCTCTCTTTTCTAATAAATCATAGCTGTGAATACGACACCATGCTCAGTTCTCTGAGTCCTCCCAGGAAAACGTCAAACTGAGAGTGGTCTCGGGAACTTTTGGCCTCGAGAATCATCCTGCATCTTCATTTGCTGTGTCATTGCAACATTTTATCTGATAAATGCCTTCTCTATGCACAGAAAGTTTGTAAACTAAACTGTAGTACAGGGGGGGGGACCCTAACAAACTCAGTAGTCTTTAATAGAGACCCCGTACACATTTTCTATTATCTTACTGAGGTATTAGTAATTAGGTAATTTGCACCCTGTTTTTGGTTGTTATTGTTGTAGTTGTTGTTGTAATGTGCCATCGAGTCACTTGTGACTCACAGCGGCCCTATGTACAACAGCCCTAAACTCTGCTCTGTCCTGTGCCAATCACACTGTCTCTGTGACACATCCATCCTGATTACCCCAATCACTGAATCAATCCACCTCATAGAGGGTCTTCCCCTCCTGCGCCGTCCCGCCACCCTCCCAAGCATGATGTCCCTCTCCAAGGACCGGTCTCTCCTCACTACATGTCCAAAGTAAGTTAGACGGAGCCTCAGAATCATTGACTCTAAGGAGCCGTCTGGTTTAACCCTTTCCAGGATGAATCTGTTTGTTTTCCTAGCAGTCCATGGTACTCTCACTACTCTTCTCCAGCACCACAGCTCAAAGGCATCAATTCTCCTTCTATCCTCCTTGGTCATTGTCCAACTCTCTGATGCATAACAAGTGATTGTGAAGACCATGGCCTGTATCAGATGCACCTTAGTCTCCAGAGAGACACCATTGCTCTTCAGTACTTTGGAGAGGTCCCTAACAGCAGACTTTCCCATCACAATACGTCTTTTAATTTCCTGGCTGCTGGTGCCGAGAGTGTTGACTGTGGAGCCAAGCAAACTAAAGCTGTGAACAATCTCAATCTCCATCCATCCTGAGGCTGCCAATTGACCAAGTAGTGTCTTCTTGACATTGAGCCTCAATCTATATTGAAGGCTGCAGTTCTTGACCCACTGCAGCAAGCGTTTCAGGTCCTCCTGAGTTTCAGCAAGCAGGGTTTTATCATCTGCATAACGCAGATTGTTCATAGATCTTCCAGCAATCTTGACCCCATACCTCTCCTCATAGAGTCCAGCCTCTCAGATAATCTGTTCTGCATACAGGTTGAAAAGGCATAGAGATAAGACACATCCCTGGCGTATGCCCTTCCCAATTTTGAACCATGCAGTGTTCCCTTGCTCTGTTCTGACGACTGCTTCCTGGTCCCAGGTATAGGTTTCACATTAGCACGATCAAGTGTTCTGGGATTCCCATTCTTCTCAGAGTGAGCCACAGTTTGTCATGATCTACACAGTTAAACACCTTTGCACAGTCAATGAAACACAGATATACATTCCTCTGGTATTCCCTGCTTTCAGCTCAGATCCATCTAACATTAGCTACAATATCCCTAGTACCACGACCCCTTCTAAACCCCCTGGACTTCTGGCAGTTCTCTGCTGATGTGTTGTTCCAGTCATTTTTGGATAATCTTCAGTAGAATCTTGCTTGCATGTGAAATCAATGAGATTGTTCTATAGCTTTCACACTCTGTTGGGTCACCTTTCTTTGGGATGCGAACAAATATAGATCTCTTCCAGTCAGTTGGCCAAGTGGTTGTTCTCCAGATTTCTTGGCACAACTTTCAGGGCAGCATCTGTTAACTGAAATATGTCAATTGGTATGCCGTCTATTCCTGGGGCCTTATTTTTTGCCATTTCCTTCAAAGCAGCCTGAACTTCTTTCATCACCATAGGCTCTTGCCATGTTGTTTCATGAAATTCTTCTGTGTCTGCCAATTCCTTTTGATACAGTGACTCAGTATATTCTTTCCATCTTCTTTTAATATTTCCTGGATCATTTAATATTCTGCCTAAAGCATCCTTGATTATAGCAACTCGAGGTTTGAATTTGTTCTTCAGTTCCTTGAGCTTAAGAAATGCTGAGCGATTTCGGCCCTTTTGACTGTTATTGTTATTACTATATTTCTCTTGACCCTTTTGTTGTTTGATGTATTAAAAGCCATTCCCCACATCCTTGAAATGTCCTGCCAAGATTATCTTAACAGCTGTGTGATATTCATAATGGCCCAACCACCTTCTTAAATCTACTTTCCATTGTTTGTTAATGCTGCAATGGCCATCTTTGACCCCACAGACCATCCTCAATCTATTAGAACAGACATCCGTTCTTGAAAAGAACTTAAGAATCCAGAAGATTCTAACAACGGTTAAATTCCAGGGCTCCAAGAAGAGATGTCATGTTTGAAAAGAGGCTGATAT